CTAAACGCGAGTAACTTTACGCTTCCAGATAAAACTGCTTCACGATTGCAAAGCAATGGAGTGCACTAAAACGTTTGCTGAAGCAGCCTCTATTGCAAAGAAATGGAGTGCACTACAATGTTCACTGTTCTCTAATAGATTAGGTGAAAAATGCAATATTTTCGCATTTAGCAAAATTAAAACACGTTTTTCGCAGTAAAGTGAACTGCTTTGGATGTTTCAACTCGTTCTTCTTTTCGCTCTATTCTTTGTTTACTTGTGGTACACAAATGTCAACGCCCAGGACGGCGCAATCTTGTATTCCATCATTCTTGGTAGTGAGTGATATGTCGTTTCACCGGAATTCTTATTGGAAAAAGTAGATGTCTTTCCGATTATTGCGCTCACGAAATCCACGCGCTAGGACACGTACATATGTATGTAGGTAAGTACGTGCCACAATTAAATGCGAAATGAAGAAATTCAGACGTAAATGCCAATAAAACTGGAACAAAGCCAACCGAAAAATGATCTGGTGCAACAGCAGGTTGAAGAGATGTATGAAGTGTAAATTTTACGCAAGAACAAGGCGTGTACATATGTACATACACATGGGTATGTATGTATGCTTGTAAATCGTAGAATAGGGGTGAATGAGGATTTCGAGAACTGGCGCCAACCGAAGTTGCCCAGCGAACACAAAGCGCAGCAAAAGAAATACAAAGAAACTATTTTGTGTAGCGAAAAGTACGTACGTACATACATGTATGTATGCATATAAACCCACCACTTGCAAACTATGAAAACAATTGGGGTGTTCACAGTTCGTTCCAAATTCCCCCCTTTCTAGCAGTCGTCGCAAAATCGTCTCAAAACTTTGCTGGTGTTGCCAGACATTTCTTGTTTGCGTGCATTGTTTATATGTCGCCTTTCGATTTTGTTTCTGAAAAATTGTAATTATTTAACTTAATTACCAATTCGTAATATTTGTTATTCTTTTTCCTTGATTTGTTTCTTTTCATCAGAAATTGCGCTCAAATTAAATGCAAATACGGAAAACGTGCCCAATAAATAAGAAAAATGTGATTAGTATTGCCATAATGCAACCCTGCTGCGAGGTTGCAAAATGTAGACGCGTAAAAAACATACCTTTGAGTGTGACAAAATGTAGACGGCGTCGTTTTCCAATTTTGTATGGGAAACAACAACACCACAGATTTTACGGTTAGAAAACGTCTTAAAATGTAGACGTCTACATTTTGAGACACTATTTGGAACGAACTGTGAACACCCCAAATGATGATATGATTTACGGAATGTTTTATTGTATGGATCAGTGTAATGATGACACGCTTGCAAAATTTTGGACACTATGTTCTCCACTGAGGTGTCTTCGGTCAATGATTGGCAATAATAACACACATATGTACATACATATGTAGACGCGCAAACCTTTGGCTATTTAGCCGATTCAAGCAGTGCGATTTGTTCACTTTCA